GGAACGTCAACTTTCTTCATGTCAATCTATTACATGTGCAAATATTTAATCCATTTGTCTTAAAACTTTTGGCTGTGTGTCGCGAGCAGGTTGGGGCTCAACACGCGCGGGCTCAGACGTTTTTTTGCTGAATACGGCCTTGAGCTCTTCACGCTTGTAATAAATCCCGACCAGTGAAACGACTAAGCTGCCAACAGCAAGCCATTGGGTGGTGCTGAGGCTGCTATTTTTTTCTCCGCTGCACTTTGGGCTTTCGCCGTCTGTAGTCGGGGCTGGCTCAGGGGCCGCTGTGGTGGCTTTCGCCTTGTTGTTTGCGATTATGATAGAAGCCTCAGCTGCTGCTTTTTTCTGTTGTTCCCGGGCCAGCCTCGTTCTTTCAGCAACCAATTTGCCAGCAGCCACACGCTTGGGATTTTTTGCGCGCTGCGTTGTCGTAGTTGCAGTTGGAGTTGTCGCTTGCTGTGTGATATCGACCTGCGAATGCGCCGTGACGGCAGGTGCGCTCTCGGATTGTTCGGTAGACATTCTGAAACAAATGTGTGTGTTAAGCAAATATAATAATGCTTAGAAACTACTCAGAATTTGTCTGCAATACCTCAGCAGTTGTTGAGGATTGCTGCGTAATTTCCTCCAATTTTACTTCCGCCTTTCTCTCCAANCAAAAGCTTAAACCAAAATTAATTTATATGCTCTTTTCTTTTCTTTTCATTTCTTCTTCTTCTTCTTCTTCTTCTATTCTTCTCATTTCTTCGTGTATTCTTCTTTCTTCTTCTATTCTTCTTCTTATTTCGTCTTCCTTTTTTCTTTCTTTTCGTCTTTCTTCTCCGGCCTTATCAATAAATGCTGCACTCAAAAGATTGCTGACTCTATCAAAAACCTTTACATTGAAGTCGTACCATACCAGAGAGATACCAAAAATTGCGGCGAGATGAGAATCTGCAGAACGTCAACTCTGCGCATGTTGATATATATTCCACTCGGAAAAGTTTAAATCATCTTTTTTAATCCTTTTGGCTGTGTCGCGCGAGCAGGTTCTGGCTCAACACGCGCGGGCTCAGGTGCGGGCTCCGGCGTTTTTTTGGCGAATGCGGCCTTGAGCTCTTCCCGTTTGTAATAAATACCGACCAGTGAAACGACTAAGCTGCCAACAGCAAGCCATTGGGTGGTGCTGAGGCTGCTATTTTTTTCTCCGCTGCACTTTGGGCTTTCGCCTTCTGTAGTCGGGGCTGGCTCAGGAGCAGCTGTGGCGGCTTTCGCCTTATTTTGCGCGAGATAAGCCTCGGCCAATTTCTTCTGTTGTTCCCGGGTCAGCCGCGTTCTTTCAGAAACCATTTTTCCAGCAGCCACACGCTTGGGATTTTTTACTCGCTGCGTTGACGTTGTTGCAGTCGGAGTTGTCGCTTGCTGTGTGATAGCGACGCCAGGTGCTGTATGGGTCTCGCCCTGAGGTGCGCTCTCGGATTGTTCGGTAGACATTCTGAAACAAATGTGTATGCTGAGCAAATATAATAATGCTTATGAATTAATCTGCGGTCGTTCTGCAATCACTCAGCGGGCGTTGAGGATTGCTGTTGAGGAATTTCTTCCAATTTCTGT